CAGCCTCGAGACCGAAGGAAGAGCCCAGAGACAGCGACAGAGACGTCAGTGGTGTCTGGACAGGGGATCTTATACGAAGGGTCCTGGAGCCACACCCCACCTGGTTCGGCAGGCAGGATACGGAAGCAGTCTCCACTACTCAGGGGAGAAGGAGGCTACCATTTATAGAGGGAATTGGCGTCAGGTAGGCTCATCAGGACGGAGTGAGCCTCTGATAAAGAGGATTGAATAGTCACGTGAGTGAAGCAGGGGCTGGGCAAGCAGTGAATGTACAGAGAGCAAGAGAATAGCCGTCTTAAATGGCTTCACCATACAGTCTACCCGTACACACCCTGCACCACCCTTACGAACTTGGTCCACCCCTCTTCTGCGATATCCCTGGCGTCAGGTGTGTAGAGGTGCACTGCAACCAAATACCACAAATGCAGTACGGACACCAGCAGCTAAAGAGTATCAAGAGCCCGAGAGGTGGGCAATCTTTGGAGCCAGGTGCTCATCCGGCCGATTTTTCATGGAAGTTCACAGGAGGACGACAGTGGCATCTCGCTGTAGACCCAGCAATGAAACTAATTTTGTAGTGAGGCCACCGTTGTCACCCGGTCCACAGACAGATTACCTCCGCTCAGACTAGGGGTGAAATGTAAGATGTTTAACAGACAGATTACAGGGAAGATCGTGATCATTAAGCAAGATAACAAGCAGTGTCAGCATCCTGAGATATCGCCACCCCTGCCTGTGGTTTGCATCCTGGCCTGCAGTACCGTATTGCCCGTCCACCCCCAGTCCCTACAGCCGGCGCTGAATACTGGAGAGGCGATGTGATAGAATGGTGCCTTTCTCCAGTAGGGGCCCTGGATTAATTCCCTTAGTAGTCTGCGGGAGGAGTGCAGGTAGAAGACAGGTAAAACCTGTAGGTCCCTTTCTAATCCGATTCCCCACGAGGCAGCAAACCCAAACCACAGGGGGCTTACCTGCCAGTCTCAGGACCATTTTATAACGTGTTCACCTGGGGTTAGATCCTGTGGCCAGGGCCAAAGCGAGTTGTTGTCCTGACCGGTAGTTGGCAACGGTCCTTTGGTGGGCAACTGTTGAACTCCGGTTGTGTTGACTAGTTTCCTCTGGGTTAACATGGCGTCGGCACTGGGATGATTGCTCCTGGGATGTTCAGTTATAGCTCCTAGGGCTTGAGTTAGTCTCCTGGCCCACATGTTGAGAGAGCGAGTTCCCATCTCAATTGTTGTTTAAGTAGCCCAGTCACCCTTTCCATTAGCCTGGCAGCAGTGGGGTCGTAAGGCAGGTGGAAATGCCAGTGTATGTCATGTTTATCGGCCCATTCCTGAACTGCATGGTCCTTGGTCACTGTCAGTGTCCATGGGGGTCCCATATGTCATGCTCAGCTGTCCTAGATGCCAGATGGTGGTTGTTTGCATTGCTGGGTGACTCGGGTAGGCCTTTGGTAACGTCTTCCACCTGTTGTAATGCACTGTAGACGGCAGATAGCTGTTGCTGCCACCACACTGTATCATTGCTCTGCCTCCTGCCAGAGCTGGGACCAGAGGCCCAAGGGCGCTCTTATTAGTTTGCCGTTGCCTTGGGCCCCAACTAAACCCTTCTGGGTAACTGGCCGCATCCAATTCACAAGCCAGTTCCTGAGTTAATATCCCTAAAGCCTGGGCCTGTAATCGTTTAGGCATGATAGGTTGGGGGTTTGCTTGTCTTACCCAACCAGATAACACCCTTGATAGATAATCCAGGTCCTTGCATTTTGTCTGTAGTCACCAGCCATCCTTGGGCAGTCAGATGAGCCACGAGCACGGGGCTGCTACTTTTAAACTGGAAAGAGACCCGGAGGTTAAGAAGATACCATTAATATAATGGAACAGAAAGACATCTCTCACAGTAGACAGCTGCCACAGGGCCCCACTGCAGGATTATCCCTGCAACCTTTGGGCCCTACCATGTTAATGGACAGCCTTCTTGGGATTACCCCTGCAACTTTCCATTCCCGTCCCTTTTTCCCAACATCTCAGCACTCACAGGAGTTTCCTTGGTCTCCCAGCTAGGCTCGCCAGTTCTTGGGATGCACCCTGCAGGCCCACAAGCCTTGCAGTTACCCAGCCTTGAGACCGAAGGAAGAGCCCAGAGACAGCAACAGAGATATCAGTGGTTTACTGGTCAGAGGGATCTGACGCACAGGGTCCTGGAGCGACACCCCACCATGTACGGCAGACAAGATATGGCAATAGTCTTCACTACTCGGGGGAAAAGGAAGCTACCATTTATAGGGGGAATTGATGTCAGGTGGGCTCATTGGTTATCAGGGACTGATTAAGCCCTGTAATTAAGAGGATTGGGTAGTCATGTGAGTGAAGCAGGGACTGGTCAAGCAGGGGATTTATAGAGAACAAGAGAACAGCCATCTTAAATGGCCTAACCATACAGTCTCTATGATTTCTGTGTATTTTTCATCTCCTCAAATAGATTATGAAGAAAAAACTCAAAAGGATATTCATGTTCAGTGAGCACCTACTATGTGCCAAGTTCTGTGATGTTTAATTATAACCCATCCTTTAGGGAAATCGTTTATTATCTGATATTTTTATTTTTTATTTTGGTAGAGAACGTGGGCAATGGATTTTTTTTGGGGGGGGGTACGCAGGCCTCTCACTGTTGTGACCTCTCCCGTTGCGGAGCACAGGCTCTGGACGCGCAGGCTCAGCGGCCATGGCTCACGGGCCCAGCTGCTCCGCAGCATGCGGGATCTTCCCAGACCGGGGCACGAACCTGTGTCCCCTGCATCGGCAGGCGGACTCTCAACCACTGCGTCACCATGGAAGCCCGGCAATGGATTTTTTAAACAAGGGAACACTGAGACTTTGGGCAAGTTACTGAAGTCTTTTGTACCTTAGTTTCTGCTTCTGTGAGAATTAAATTAGATACTAGGCTTGTCTGTGACAGAAAACCCTAATAACAATATAGAGATTAATTTCTCATGTAAAAGTCTGTGTAGGGGGTTTTAAGGGCAGGGAAAATACTCTGTGTGATCGTATCATGGTGGACACATATCATTGCACATTTGTCCAAACCACAGGATGTAAACACCAAGAGTGAACCCCAGTGTAAACTATGGACCCTGGGTATCCGTATGGATAATGACGTGTCAATGTAGGTTCAGTTGTAACACATGTACCACTGTGAAGGTCTCCAGGGTGTCAGGAATCTAGGTTCCTTCTCTTGTTTTTCTGTTGTTTACGATCTTCATGTCATGGACCGGCCAACAGGCCCATATTCCATCCAGGACAAAGGCGAGAGGACGAGGAGAGCAGACCTCATCCTTCCAGGACACTTTTTAGCTGTTACACAGGGCAATTCTTCTTCTGTTGCACTGGTGGAGCTTAAGTCACATGTACCGCACAGGGTACACCTAGGTGGCCGTGTGCCCTGCTCCAACTCAGGGTCTTCTGCAGAGGAAGAAGAGGGGGGCAGGTACTGGGGGGCAGCTCACAGTCTCCGTCACAGTGTGTAAGGCACGATAAGTAGGGCCTGTCATAATCAGTGCTTATTCCAGTGTTGTTGTTAGAAGCAAATAAACTCCTCCTACCACAATACCAAACACTAGGATCTTTTCTCACTAATAGAACGTCTCTAATTTCACGGTAACCCTTGTCCATGCTGAGGGTGTGGCCAGGGTGACTCTCAGTTCTCGTGTCCTCCAGCGTGTGTGTTTCGGGGGGAGACCACAGGTGGCTCGACAGGTAGGGGGGGACATCTGAGCTTGTGGAGGTAAAGCAAGTGCCAGGTAAGGAAGTGGATGCTGAGGCAGGAGGTGGGAGATTGGAGGGGTTCAAACACAGCTCTGCCACAGGCTCTGACAGCCCTGTCATGCTGCCAGCCCTTGCATCAAAACTACATTTAAAAGATCAAAACTCAAAAAAGGGAACCCTCTTGCACTGTTGGTGGGAATGTAAATTGATACAGTCACGATGGAGAACAGTATGGAGGTTCCTTAAAAAACTGCAAATAGGGCTTCCCTGGTGGCACAGTGGTTGAGAGTCCGCCTGCCGATTCAGGGGACATGGGTTCGTGCCCCGGTCTGGGAAGATCCCACATGCCGTGGAGCATCTGGGCCGGTGAGCCATGGCTGCTGAGCCTGCGCGTCCGGAGCCTGTGCTCCGCAACGGGAGAGGCCACGACAGTGAGAGGCCCGTGTACCGCAAAAACAAAAAACAAACAAACAAAAAAACCTGCAAATAGAATTACCATATGACCCAGCAATCCCACTACTGGGCATATACCCTGAGAAAACCATAATTCAAAAAGAGTCATGTTCCACAATGTTCATTGCAGCACTATTTACAATAGCCAGGACATGGAAGCAACCTAAGTGTCCATCAACAGATGAATGGATAAAGAAGATGTGGCACGTATATACAATGGAATATTACTCAGCCATAGAAAGAAACGAAACTGAGTTATTTGTAGTGAAGTGGATGGACCTAAAGTCTGTCATACAGAGTGAAGTAAGTCAGAAAGAGAAAAACAAATACCGTATGCTAACACATATATATATGGAATCTAAGGAAAAAAAAAACGGTCATGAAGAACCTAGGGGTAAGACAGGAATAAAGACACAGACCTACTAAAGAATGGACTTGAGGATATGGGGAGGAGGAAGGGTAAGCTGGGACAAAGTGAGAGAGTGGCATTGACATATATACACTACCAAACGTAAAATAGCTAGCTAGTGGGAAGCAGCCACATAGCACAGGGAGATCAGCTCGGTGCTTTGTGACCACCTAGAGGGGTGGGATAGGGAGGGTGGGAGGGAGGGAGACGCAAGAGGGAAGAGATATGGGAACATATGTATATCTATAACTGATTCACTTTGTTATAAAGCAGAAACTAATACACCATTGTAAAGCAATTATACTCCAACAAAGACGTTAAAAAAAAAAAGAGAAATTCAAAACGATTAACTTTAGGCTTAATCCCCTGCCTAGGTTCCCAGAGACGGAGGCTCATCCCGGCGCTGTCCCTTGACACCCCCTCCCCTGTGAGGAAACCGGCCAACAGCGCAGGGGTCCGTTGGGTGGACGGCCCCTTGCGCAGCACCCAGAGGGGCCTCGGGGAACCTTTTGAGATTAAAGTCTATGAAATCGACGACGTGGAGCGGCTGCAGCGGCGACGAGGGGGCAGCAGCAAGGTGCGCCTCGCCCTCCCCACGCGGTGGCGGTCCCCCAGGAGGTCCCCGGGCTGACGCCGAGGCCGCGCCCTAGAAGAGGGCGCAGGCCACGGAGACTCCCAGCGGCTTCCGGCGGGAGACGGGCCCGTGCACCCAGCTCGGGAGAGCAAGCTGTTTCTCCGCCCGGAGACCTCTGAAGGCTCTCCTGGTTCCATTTTGGAGCACCAGCCGCCTTCTAAATTTGAGATATGCCAGTGATAGCCCTACCCCGTGAGTGGGCTGTCTGAGCTGAGCCCCCAGCTCCCTCCCAAACTTCCCAGTGACCTGCTCCTTTTGCACTGACCATAAGCACAAGTATTCCTTTCCAGAAGAGGTTGCCTGGGCTGGATTTGAGCTGAAGGTCCTTTCCCCTCCCCCCTCCACCCCCATCTCCTTCCCATCTGTGTACTAGGAGGTCATGTGCTTCAATGCAAAGCTGAAAATCCTGGAGCATCGCCAGCAGAGAATTGCCGAGGTCCGAGCCAAGTACGAGTGGCTAATGAAGGAGCTGGAGACGACGAAACAGTATCTGATGCTGGATCCCAACAAGTGGCTCAGCGAATGTAAGGCCCATCACTGCGACTCCTGGGTTCACCAGTTAAACAGGGCAGGCTGAGAGGGACACAGACGCTGTCTGAACCCGAGGGCCTTCCATGCCCCTTGGCTGGGGATGGCCTCCCTGAGCGCAATCCCGCTCTGTGGGGGGCAGGTGGGAGGGGTGTGAGCAGCAGGGCGGTGAGTATTGCTCTTGCACGATTATTTCTTATGTGTCTCAGTCCAAAGCACCTGAAAATGAGATTTTTTTTTCCCCCTAAGTGTGGTGGACGCTCACCCAGACATGAAGGCTGTATTACCACTCTGCTCCCTGGCCACAAAATCACATTGCATATCTAGCCTGAAATAGACAAGAATTATAGAGTGCTTAATAGGGCAGCCTGTGCAATCCTAGAAAAGCCTCAAAAAGAACCCAGAAAGCAAGAAAAACGTTCTTGAGTGAAAAGAATAACATTCACAGTGTTATTTCCATTTAATAGAAAGCCCAGGATGACAGTAACCATCTAATAACAATTCAGAACAATTCTGCTCCCTTTGAAAGATGGAGTCAATTGCTTCTTATTTATTTGTTTCGAACCATTCCATTTACCACAAAATAAAAGCTCAAATCTGGTCCCAACTGTTTCATTGATATGGGGGCCCAATGCTAGACGGCTTAGTCTCTGAAATAAAATACATTACTTCCACTAAAGTTCCTTTCCCTCCTTTCCTGTCTGGCACTCACCAGCTCTTCCCTCCAGTCCCTCAGCCTCCCTGTGCCTCCCTCTCTTCACGACTGTCCCCTGAAGGTCACATCACCCTCTCCCCAGCATTCCCAGGCCAGTGCCAGGAGCATGACAGGCAGAGTCTGGGGCTTAGGTTTAAGAAATACTGGGTGAAATGATCCTGGGCAAAGAAGAAAGGACAGAATTTGCTGGTCTTCTAGCTGTGCCCCGCCACTTTCACAGTATGTCTTCAGGCGGCTTCCTTTCCATAGCACTGAGGTAATAACATCTCCCCTGAGTACCTCATGAGTGCATATGAGGATCAAAAGAACCTAAAGGAGGACAGGGCACTGGGACCAGTCTGTGATGCATCTTACCTTGTTGAGTTGTACCATTTGTGGTGACAGCCACAGTCATGCAGACCCTCTTTGGAAGCTGGCTGTGAGACCTTGGGTAAGACACTTAACCTCTCTGAGCCTTGATTTCCTTAACTGTCAAATGGTAGGCACATAATGGTGCCTACTTCATAAGGTTGTTGTGAGAGTGAACGAGTTACTATCAGTCCAGTGCTGGTTACGCTGCCTGCCCGTGATGAAGGAGCAATGTCCGGTAGTAATTAGTGTTTGTATTATCCCCGAGTTAACAAAATAGCTATCCTCAACAGGAGACATTTCCTCAGCACCTGCTTGCATGATGCAGCAAGGTAGGTCCCTTGTTAGAAATCTGGACCAGAGACATGAACTCCTGCTCCCTAGGGTATTTCCATCTAAGGCTGTGATAGGGCAGACAAGACACGGACGAGGACATTAGCTGAAGTCTGGCCGCGGCATAAACATGGAGCCTAATGCTATGTTTCTCCCACCTGTGCACACCCTTTTCCTTCTTCCATTAATCCTCAGGCGCTTCAAGATCCCAGGGGTGCCCATTCAGCAGTTCCTCTTCCTTTCTGCTGTTTTCATTAACATTTTTTGAGAGCTATTTATGCCTAAGGCAGGCTTGATAATTGTCTTCATCTTACAAAGTCACATTTTTTCCCAGGATGGGAGCAGCTTAAACGTCGGTACATATGTAGATGCTTCCAGGAAACGGTCCCTTCCTTCTTGCCTTTGTTCACATCAGGAATCAGGGATTTTTTGATGCTGAGAAAGGTAATGAACAGAAGGCCACGTGAAAGGAGAAACACAGATTGTTTCTTCAAGATGAATTGAAACCAAAAATGACCCCCCAAAAATCAATGAGACTGTATTCTGACTGTTCCCTGGGTGTGGGTAATAGGCTGGGTGTTGGCTAGAAATAAATGTTCTGGAATCCATTTTTTAAAATTTCCAAGGTGATCCAATAATATAGCTGATGTGGTTATGGTATGGTGAGGGGTTTTGTTTGGTTTTTAAATATTAGACCGGTATTCAGGAGCCTCAGCCTCATTCCCAGCCCCGGTCCTTATTAACTGCGTAACCCTGAGCAGGACGCCTCACTTCTCTGAGCCCAGTTAAGTCTCCTATAAAAGAAGTCAGCCTTGATTTCAGCCCTTGATGTTCCTGTAGCTTGTTACAGTTCTCAGACCACATTCACATTCACCGTCTCTTTTTGGTTCTACTCTTCATGGCAACTCTAGTTAGGAAGGTAGGCAGACTAGGGATTATGACTCTCCTGTTACTTTTAAGGACCCTTTGGCAGCAAAGATTAGGCATGGCCGACCTGGGAGTCAAGTGCAAGTCTCCTGCCTTGGATTCCAGCGCCACCCCCACTGCCCTGGCTGCTGCCCATGCCTGTCCTCTCCATGCTGGGCACTCTGTAGCAGCCTACCGCCCTGCCCAGTCACCACTGGACCAAGTAGTGGCCGGGGGCCAGGAGAGGGTGGCCTCAGATAATTGCCCTTGAGGAACTGAAGGAGACAGGCTTTTAACTGTGCAGGCCTGAACATTAGGGACAGCATCTGGGTCCTAAATCTCAGCTTCTGAGCACAGAATCGTAATTATTATTATTTTTCATTAAAGTATAGTTGATTTACAATGTGTTCGTTTCTGCTGTACAGCAAGGTGATTCAGTGACACACACACGTACATCTATATTCTTTTTTATATTTTTTCCATTATGGTTTATCACAGGATATTGAATGTAGTTCCCTGTGCTGTACAGTAGGACCTTGTTGTTTATTCATCCTATGTATACTAGTTTGCATCTGCTAATCCCAAACTCCCAGTCCACCCCTACCTACCCCCCCACCCCCTTGGCAACCACAAGTCTGTTCTTTATGTCTATGAGTCTAAGAATCGTAATTATTAACATAGATTCCATCATCACCCTAGTTCCCAAAGGGCCAGTGAGTATATGAAACTGTACAGGAAGTGCCAAGAGGCAGGGTCACTGCGTAGAGAGGCAGCTGCACACAGCTGTGTGAGGGACTAACCAGAGAGCAACACACTTGTATCAGCAGGCAGAGGTATAAACATCATTCAGGTGAGACCCCAAAAAGGAAGGGTTTCTCCATACCTCAGCTTGAAGCTTTATTTATTTTCTAGTTAATAAAGAAAATGGTGCTGGTAGAGTCCCAAATCCTGTCATGGAGATGGTGGAGGTGGGGAGAGCTTGATGTCACTTTGTCCCTCAGTAGAGTCACAGTAAAATGTCAGGGGTCTAACGTTATCATTGGAACGAAGGGCCCCAATATAACTACAAGTAATGAAGTGTTTTGTTCTCGACCTGAGAGCGGCAGAGGGTTGAGCAGGAGGGTGTGGCAGCGCTGCCTAAGACCTTCCGGCACAGGCGCAGGTGCAGGTACAGGCGCAGGTAGAGGTGCAGGTGCAGGTACAGGTGCAGGCGCAGGTACAGGCGCAGGTAGAGGTGCAGGTGCAGGTACAGGCGCAGGTACAGGTACAGGTGTAGGCGCAGGTGCAGGTGCAGGTACAGGCGCAGGTATAGGTACAGGTGCAGGTACAGGTGTAGGTGCAGCAGCCGCGGGCCAGCACGGCTGAGCCGTCCGATCACCCTTCCCCGCTGGCCGCACGTCTCCATCGGGCTTCTCCTTCTTTGCAGTTGACTTGGAGCAGGTTCTGGAGCTGGATTCCCTGGAGTACCTGGAAGCGCTGGAGTGCGTGACGGAGCGCCTGGAGAGCCGCGTCAACTTCTGCAAGGCGCACCTCATGATGATCACCTGCTTCGACATCACCTCCCGGCGCCGCTGACGGGAGCCGCCGCCCGGCCGGCCCTCGCTCCCTATCCGCAGGCAGCCGCGCTCGGCGGGCCCTCGGTGCTGGCCGCGCTCAGCGACCACGGAAGGAGGACGAAGGTCGGTGGCAAGTCTGGAGTGAGCGTGGAGCAGAAGGTGATTTTTCTTTTGTTTTCTGTAGGAAAGGTGCAAACACCAAACACGCAGGAGAGGAGAAAATGATGGGAAACCCAAGGGACGTGGAAGCCCCCGTGAGACTGAAAAAGCACTTTGAGGAACTTTAAAGAACTTGTTTGTACATAAGAAATGCTGGCAAAAGAGACCTCACTCTTCTCCTGGTTTGTGAGAAAAGGCGAGGGTGGACGTGGGATTGCTGTGGAAAGTGAAAACAAAACAAGTTACTCCGAATGACTGATGAAGTGCCTTGCAAATCTTTGTTATTATCCAAACATTTATGTTCATACTTTCTTGTGTACAGATGGTGCTAGTCAAGATGAAAACAACAAAACGAACAAAAAAGAAAATCAGACACATTTTTGCAATGTATTTACAGCTCGTTTTCTCTTGGTGTTTTATCCTATTTCTGACTTGCTGTTTCTAAGTAAGTTGTGTTTGTAGAGCTATTTCCTAATCGGTATGGCATATGAATAAATGTTAACTGTCTGCTATGGTTCTGCTGGGAAGGCCACTCAGACAGAAGATAGAGACTTCCGGGCACAAGCCAGTGTGTTTCCAAAGAAGGTTGGAACAGCAGGTGATGCTCAATGCCAGCTCCTACGAGTGGCAGTGTCAGCGGGCAGACTCGGAGGTCGATCATGGAGCAGGTGCACGTGAGCTGGAGAGAAAAGAGAGGAGAAAGGGCTGCGTCTCTAGGGGGAAAGGAGCCTCTGTGGCCTGGGCCCTGCTTACCCTTTGGGTGGGATGTTTGTTCCAAATAGTTTCCCCTCACACATCCTGAACACATATACTAGTTCCTTTACCCACGAATCCAGGGTTTTCATGGCCCTCATAACATTTTTCATATTCATTTTTATTCCAAAGACTCTGGATTGAGACCTTGAACCGATTCAGCAGAGCCATATATTTTTGCTCCCTAGTTTTGCAAATTTATTAGAGCAGAGGATTTTTCCCAGTTTGGAGACCTTCTTGGGCTTGTAGATGCTCAGAGACCCCAACAGTATTGGTCCAGAACAAGGATGGATGTGAGGTTGCACAACTTTTCTCTTGCCCAGGGTGCTGCTTAAATGCAAGAAGTCCCAGTCCTCGTGTGAACCAAAGCCTCCATCCCAAGCAACAACTAGGCTTGGCCACTCAGCCTTGACACCTGAAGGCAGAGAAAGTTTTCCTGTCATACATCACACACCTGTAGCGAGGCAGGGCACAGAGTTTCATGCATATGGATGTACAGGGCTTGACTTTGGACCTCATTCTCAAATTGAGATGTTCATCCCTGCCACAATTCCCTTAGGGACTATTATACCCATTTTAGTGATGGAAACCCAGGGATTGTCTAATAACAGCTGTGGAACAGCAGGGCGTTCGCCTACCTTCCAGGTCAGGGCCCTCTCCCAGGCCCCTGCAGCCTGCCCACTGATAGAGGTGCCCAGGGTTTTCCCTGTCCTTTTTGCCCTCAAATGCAGCATATCTCCATGAGCCTATTTCCAGGTGAGGCAGTCCTGGCTAACCAACTCCTCAGCCCCAACTGCTCCCCAAGGAAAAGGAACCTTTGCATTTCTTTGACAATGCTCTTCAGGACACGTGTAGCCCAGCATAGCTCAGCTGAACTCAGTAAGTGGGAACCATAGTCTTGTGAGCTTCATAGTACCAGTCCTTTACTGGTCAGAACGGGGCACAGATGGCCCCATTAGCTTTGTTTGGGAAGTCAGCCCCCTAGACTGGAAGCCAGCTCTGTGGATGACAAGTCTGGCTCTGTGTTTGGTTAGAGCACGCTCCTATGCAGAGGTGCACATAGAAGCTGCACTCCCATCCGATAGCTGAAACGGGCTATAATATGGTGAAAAGTTACTCCAGAGCGGATCATTTCCCCCTCTAGTTTAACAAGTGTGTCTGTCCCCTTGGAAGGCAGGGGTCCCACACCCTAACCTCATTCTGCAGGGCAGCCCCATGGCTCTGGGTGCACCTCTGGTCTCAGCACTTGTGTTAATGGCCTTGTTCAACAGCAGCATAATGGAAGCTTCTGGACCCCAAAGGATGCCAATCTGTTGAGTTTGTTTGGGTTTTCCATTCGGCACCTCTTTGGTTGCTGGTTTGATATACACCACTTCATGAAAAGCCTTTAACTGAGGAATTGTCACAGGTGAGTATCCTAGTCTTTGCTGGAAACAAACGCACTTGATTAGTAATCAGTGTCCTTAGCTTTCGCCCTGGCCATGTCTTTCCCACGGGTTACCTCACTGTGCTGACTTCCTTAGCAGGCCAGCACTGGGGCCTTCATGCCTTTCCTGGAGTGAGACTAAGCGGAAACATCTACAGAAATTAAAATCTTGATCAGTGGAAACTTTCCTAGGGGAGTGGCCTTCCGCTTGCCTCCTGCCTAAACCTGCTCTACATGTTTGTAGCAACTTTATGAGATAGCCAAAGGGCTGAATGAGACCAGGAGCTCTCTTACCAAGTCAGATTGGCCTCGCAAGATGCCACACCATGGAGCTTCTCACAGGATGCTTTTGGCCATGGTGTAGGAGAACAACTTGGCATGGAGGTTGTCCATTGGCTTTTTTCCTTACTTTTCTTTTCCTTTCCTTTCTTTTCTAACGTAAGTAAGCTACAAACATCTTAACACACCAAGTATTTGTAAACCATGTGAAGAAATCATGATTTTTATGCTATAATGTGCTTATGCCTGGTTCTACCTATAAGTTGATTGTACAGCTGGTCAGCTGTTCTGTAGCAGTTCTAATAACTGAAGAACACCTCATTCAATGGCCAGGTGTGAGGCAGGTCGAGGTCTCCTTGTGGTTTTGGTGACAGATAACCTAGGAAGGCAAAGGGAATGTCAAAGAACCCATTATTCCATTTTATTATCCACAAATGAAAGGACCAGAAAAATATTTATTTGAAATTAACGTTTAGATGTGGAAGCCTTAATTCTTTGTCTGAAATCTGTTCCCCTCTCCAAATAGTTTAGTGTGAGGTGGAAGCAAAACTCAGAGCCCAAAAGTGGAATAGTGATGTTGTTTCCGGGGAGTGAATCCATATTGCATTTCATGAGGGGTGTTTCATGTTGCCACAGAGTGAGAATTTGCTTTATCCTGGGCTCTCAAGCCCCACCTGAGAGCTGCAACCCTTGATATTCTTGTCCTTGAATTCCCCTCTACATCATGGGGAAGCTGTCACTAACTTTCATCTCTTCCAGATTTGAAATCGAAACATCCTGTCTGTTGTTTTATCTGCAGTTGCTATTCTGAAGGTAGGGAGCTTGAGATGTAAATGCAGAGGTTGGTCCTGTGTTGACTCAGGTGGGGCTCATACAAGGGACCCCATGCTGGGGAGAGGAGAGAGCTGGGATAAAATGCCATGCAGCCCAGAGTGGGGAATTCGGCAGGCAGGAATCTCACCATTTGTCATAAATTAGTCTTAAGCTTGGAGTCTGTGTTCCTGGAAGGTGGTGGTGACTACATCATAGCCACAAAACCCATCCAGGGCAGTGGTTCAAAAAGTCTGACACGGACACATATATATCTTGTGCCGGTTCTCGGATTTCTGTTCATGTTAAGCAAGAGCCCTTTTTTGGGCCTCAGATTCTGATGCTGATCATGAATCTTGGTTAATCCATCAGCCTTTTAGGTGTTACTATTCAAAAGCAGCTGTCTGATCTGGGTTTCTTGGGATAGAGGCAGGGCTTGCAAGAGCCCAAGCGTTTATTACCCTGGCTCTACACACAGTTGCCTGTGTCATTGGCCACTGCTGATCTGTAATCAACGCTCCCACCATAAATAATGATGTGGTGAATGTTTTTAAATCCCTATTCCAAGAAGGGTTTGGGCTGTAACAGAAATTACTAAAGATGAGTTAATTTCAAAATTGAAACCAGAAGAATTCATGAATTTATTCAGTGTTCTTTTCCTGCTGGAAGATTAGCCCCACTCCTTGAGCACATATTTAAAGATTTCCTCACTTTTAAGGGCAGTGTATATTAAACCCTGAAACCATGCAAGTAAGAAACACGTTGAAAACCCTGTTCTTGACAAACTGATGCTGAATAAATCACCCATTGGCGCTGGCCCTGGGGCCTGCCTGCCGCCGCCCAGGCAGTACGGCCCATCTTCCCCCACAGGGCACGCTCTTCAACATTGCCACACTGAAACTTGACTGCCGAAGAAAGGCCCGTGCAGCCCACTTTTCTCTATGCCCAGTGAAGCAAAACCGACACTCAGTTTCATTGACAAATGCCAGTAAATGGTCTAAAATTTTTTTGGGGGGGGGCAGGAGTGGGTGGACAGGTAATAGAATATAGTGTTCCTTTGAATTATAATCTCTCTTTCTCCTCCTCCAGCAAAGATCTGTCAACATTTGTGGGTAAAACCTCACAAATTGTGTCCCTTAGCAATCTTCCCGACAAAATACGTATCTATTCCAAGCTGCTCGTCATTTCCAGATAACAGCATAATTCCAATCCAGGAGAAGCTCATCTTCTCAGAAAAAGTTTTTGCAAAGTTTTAGAAGCTGCTTATCCATCCCTAAACAATGCATTCTGCATTGGGGTGGCCCTGCTCGGAACCAGAGATGATGCCATAATAGCAGACATACTTGAAGTGCTTGAGGTGGCATCAAACTTTTAGTGCATATAATCAATATTCTCTAGATGCAGTTCCCAACGTCCATGTGTGTAGGGCGAGTGCTGAAATCCTGGCACTCACACATCTATTTTATGTAGATGTAGAAATCACCTTCGAAACTCAAAAGGCTCACTGTTTCATTCCCCGTACTGCTAACCAACACCCCACACTGTCATATTCAGTTTATGAAGAAGTTATAATTTATTTGTAAACTCAGGATGTTGTTTTGTGGCGCCTCGTGTTTTATAATTTATTTATACACCGTGGTTGGAAATGCTATCCAAGTGCTATGCATCAAAGTGTAAGTCTGGTGGATCTGCCTATGGCTGGTTTTTCTCCTCACTCTAACAAGCTCTGTTAACAGAGACACAGGCAGCGGGGAGGAAAGAGAAATAAAACAGGAAAACAGGGATTAGGATCCAATCCTCAAAGTCCAGGGCTTAGTTCAAAACCTAATTTGTTTCTAAAGTAAGTAGCTGAAAAGGAAAAGATCATTTCCTTTTGAATTTGATGATAACGGTCTTGGAAATCAGCCTCCACAGGCCTGAGTGAAGGAGGATCCAGCCTCCTCCTGCTGGTTCAACACTAAATTTCTGAAAATTGCAGACAGTATTAGGTTCCTACATTTCCCTAAGACGTCCCACCCCCCACCCCTGCTGTTACTGAAGGGGTCTGGAAGAGGAAACTGAAGTTCCTTACCTTGGATATATATAGTACCTGTTTTTTCTGGACAAACCAAAGCACTTTAGTGAGTCTTACAACCCATAATACTTAAAGCATCTTGTCCCCTCACTGGATCCCTGAGAGGCCAGGAGGGGCTGGGGTCAGTAGTCTCATTTGAGAGGCAGCTAAACCTAGGAGAAAAAGCCTTGAGCTCAGAGTAAGGAAACCAGGCTCCAGGCCTGCTTTCCTCACTCGCTATGCAACCTTGGGCAAGTCGCTTCACATTGCTGGGCCTCAGGCTCCCAGATGGAAGGTTGGGGGTCATAATAGCTGCCCTTCTGGGAGAGTGTAAAGAGAAAATGGTATAGTTGATGGGAAGTGCTTTGAAGAAATGAAAGCTCTGTTCGGGAGCTGGGGATAATCATTTTAGATGAAGAAACTGAAGTCAATAGCCAATGATTGGCCCAAGTTCACAGAGTAGTTTTATAGCAGAACTGGGATCTGAGTCCGGCATCTTGGACTCTTCCCATGAGGTGCTGTTGCACCAGGTCTGTGTGGATATGTGGACACACACCACACTGACGTACTGACGTGTGTGTGCACGGGGGTGTATACGGATGCATGTGTACAGAAGGTATGTGACATGGTGGAAGAACATAGAACAGAAAACCTGCGTTCTAACTCCAGTTTTGACAATAGTCCTATGGCCTTGGATATATTACCCAACGTTTCTGCAACACAGTTTTCTAATCTGTAAAAGGAGAACAGTGTGCTAAATGATCTTTGTGGTTCCTTCAGCTCTAGTCATGTATGTATGTGTATATAAATATGCTAATCTGTAGAAATGGGCCAATTTGAAAATTGGAGACAAGACCTGCCCAAGTGCATTTATTGTGTCGGAAACAGCGAATTCATAAACAAGTTCATAAAATCTTACTTTAAATTCAATGGTGGTATTTAATGTCATTGTTTTAAATTCACTATTTGGATAAAAGATTGGTGCCATTTTAAAAATTAAGTTCTTAGCTTACAAGTGTTTGCTGTTAAAAACTTTTAATAAAATTCATTTGTTAAAGTCAGAAATTCAACTATTCTGTACTTGGGTAGGTCCCAACAGCCTATTTGCAAACAGGCTGGTTTTGTGTATGGGCCTTCGCATAGCGATATAAGTTAGCCGTTGGCTTGATCATGATACATGTGAGCAGGCTACCTGGAGAACAGTCTGGAAAAGAAAGTTATAGTTCTTAAAACCTGGTGACATGACTTCATTAAGCTGTGTGCCATTTCCAGTGTGAAGACATTGTTTGCTGGCTACGATCTCTGACTTTTTTGTGGCATATGAGGTGAAAAATGTTGTCAAAAAAGAATCTGGTGTTTAAAAAGAATCAAACTATGGTGGCATTAAATGTTCACTTTTCTCCTACTCAGAGTCATGAAGTCCTCTATCCAGTTCACCCTTCTGAACAGAGGGGGAAACAATTCAAGGCCTGGGGCGGATCCCTCTCACTAGAGCAACACCTTGGCCGAGGACTTGCTCCCAGGCCCCAGGGCCTTCCTAGGATGAGGCCTGTCTTCTCCCACTGTGGGGCTGGCCCCCAACAAGTTCAGAAGCTCGGGCAGGGGTGGGTGGATGTTGGGCTCAGTCCCAGAGCCCTGGCATTGTCCTGCGTCCCTGACAGTCACAGGGCTGGTGATCACACATGAAACGTGTCAAGAAGCTAGGTGTTGAGGTGGTGATGGCTTTGTTGGACTGGTCACAGCCCTGCTCTGAATCCATATCTCCTACTCTGCTGATCTGGCCTGGACACGCACAGCTCCAGCTACCCCTTTCTTTTGTCCCCAAATGCTAGACCAGACCCTCGTGGGCTCCCTTTGGGCCACTGTAGCAGAAGCCATGAGTTCTTAAGAATCCAGGAGCCATAGGGTTTTCTAGACATAATGCCTTCAACAGAAGAGCTGGTGGGGTGGCCACCTAACTCTGACCATCCCCTGGGAGAGGAAAGACCATAAAGGCAGCACCTAGAACTGCTTCTAACCCCTTGTTCTTCCCCCTCCCTCAGGGGAGGACTACCAAATACATGACCTTACTTGCATTTGTCTCCTAAACCATTAAACTCTCCAAATTGTTATTAACATAACTGTTATGCTTTTCATCCTTTCCATTCCTTCCATCCCTGCATCTGTGTGGAGAAAATGCCGTCCTGTCTCACTTAGGGCCTGTTGCACCGTCTGATGCTTCTGCACTCTCTTCTAGTTGAAGGCTTTGTTTCCAGAAAACCTTTATAAACATACAGAGCACTTGAGTGTAAACACATCGGCCTGTCAGCAGCCAATGCGCCCCAGCACCCACGGGTGTCTCTTGTTCTTCTATATCCCCAGTGTCTAGAACAGAGTCTGGAACATGGTACTCAAACAATACTAGTTGAATGCATGAATGAAAGGATCACCTTTGGAAGAAGAAGAGGAAACAGAAAACACCTGGGCAGGAGTCTGCAGAAATGTCAGACTTCTTTAACAAAAGAACCAAAGGTCTGCATTGCAAATGCCCCATTTGGGATTAAGTCCCTAATTCACAGTGGACACCAGGCCCACACCAGGCAAACCCGTGCCCTTGCTTTACAATACACACAGACTTGACTTCTCTACCACTGAGCAGCCTTGGCCTTCAGGCCTCCTAGAGATGGAAGAGTGGTGTTCCAGCACGCGGATACCTACTCATCATTTACAAAGTAATCATGGAACAAATCTTTAGCGAGCGCTTGCTTTGTGTCACACACTGCTGGGGCTGATGAACAAAACAGACACCGGCCTCTGAGAGCTCAGTACCTTGACAACACCAGCTGGCAAACCGAAACCCTAGTACAAAGAGGCAAACACAGTCCTCCTCAAAGTAGGGTGCAAGCTTCTTTTGCCAACCTCTGACCCCACCACATGCCCCTTTTCCTCTGTTTGGGGCCTTGCGCCAGGCCTCACCTCCAGAAGAGTCTTCCTGGGTCCAAGGTTGGGAGGGCAAGGAGAAGGGGAGGAGGGAGAGAGAATAAGTATAGGTCACCCTGCAAGTCACTTTTTTTCTGCGATGGAAATTCACTCCCCATGGAGCCCCCCACCTGTCTGCTGGGTCTGGCCATTCCTAGTGCCACTCAGCTGGGTCCTCCAGCCCTTGCTTGTAAGCCTTCTCCCTGCATTTGCCAAGAGTCTGAGAAGAATCCAGGAGGCCAAGGGGTAGACTCTTCCTCCAAGTCACCTGACCTCTCCATCAGGGGAAGTGACCTGGAGGCACCCAAGGAAGTTGCTCTGGGTACCTCCCATGTGCAGGGTAAACAGTGTGTCATCTGTTTATTTTTCATTTGTAATTGTTAAATTGCCCTTGTTCTGCCCATCCTTTGGGCCCCTTCCCTCCGTAGCGGTCCCAGGTCCAGACATGTACATTATACCACTTTGCCTGTGCTCAGAAGAAAAACTCAAAATAAAGGCTTTCCACCAGACCACAGAGCTCCACAAACCCCAAGTTCCCCGAAAAGCCAGCAAGAAAAAGGCCTTTATTTTTTTTTAAATGGGCTTTTGAAAAGCTGGAAGTTGAAAATAAAAATTACCTTTAATCTCACTCCAGACAACCACTGTCATAACAGACACACACAAACACCTTTACAACTTCTGGATAATCATTGACTTAACCCTTTTTTGGAATCTGCTTTCTTCCCCCTTAATAATTCTACCACACACATATATTTCCCCAGTCAAGAACATGTGCTCTTACAACTGATTTTAATGGCTGTAGAATATTCCATCAGGTAGACTGACCATCATTTCAGTACTACAATTCCCTGCTATTGGACCTTAACATTGTTTCCACTTTTTTGCTATGATAAATTACACTATAATAAACATGTTGAACATATATCTTTTTTGCCTCTCTGGCAAGTCCCTTAAGATAAATTCCTAGAAGTGAAATAGCTGTAACAAGAGGAATAAAACATTACAAGTCGTTTTATACACATGGAGATTGGCCATTTTTAATCGTCCACCCAGAACAGTACTTAGAGGCCTCCCCTGATGGCCCCCTTTACAGTCATCTCTTCCTCTCTAAACTCCTACTTCATTGATTCACTTATTTGTTCACTCCACAAATATATATCAAGGAGTTCCAAAGTGGGACGTGCTCTTGCTGTAAAATGCACCAAGTTCTTACTTATTCCTTTGTACCTAATGTAGGACAGGTGTATCTGTCCCTAAATATTAAGCTCTGGAGGTGTAGCAGAGGCAAAACTTTACCTCGACCCTCTTAGGGTCTACTGCTGGGCCTTAGAATTAAATTGACATAAGACAGATTAACAGGAGAAAAGTAAACACATTTATTTAATATAAGCTTTAAGTGCCACGGGAGCCTTCATAAAAAAATGAAGACCCAGAGAGGTGGCAAAACCTAAATGCTTTTAAACTCTGCTGAAGAAAGAGAGGCAGCTGTGGAAACGGAACTAAAATATGTCAGGAGGCTAAAGGAAGATGAGTTATTTTAACCAGTCTGTTTGTACAGATTTCTCTCAGCCTTGACTCCCTATCCCTGATGATAAGGACGTTTCTTTTCTCCGGGTATTGGGAGGGCATTTTTCATACGGGAGTTATCTCCTGTTTTCAGGAAGAAAAGGGGAGATCAGAACATCCTTCTTGCATCTGCTGTTTTTCAAGCACCTTTAGCTCAAAATAATCCTCATAATGAGCTGGCATGTTTTGGGTGGCAGGTTCTGCAACTCTTCCAAGAGTAGAAGATTTTTCTATGGCCCCAGGTGTCAAGCACAGTGCTGGGCACAAAATAAGTGTTAGGATACAGAGGGTCTGGGTCATGACTCTCAGAAAGGAACTTTTATATACATTATAAATATACATGTTTTGGGAACACTTCCCTGAGAATTCTGACATATGTCTTCACTCTTAGCCAAGAAGTCATGAAGCCTGGGTGCTGGTTTGAGAACTGCGTCCCTCAGTCAACTTCGAGGGACTCACAGAACATCTCTAGGCTCAGATTCCTTGTCTGGAAGGGAAGCCAGATCTGTAGAAGGGAAGCCTCACCTGTGTGGCCTGGGTCCTTCGGGCTTGTTCTGAGGATGAAAGGAGACACTGTATGCGGAAGGATGTCAGAATCTGCTAAGTGCTCACCGGATGTAAGGTAGTAGGGTGCTAGGCATCTGTTCTAATAATTAGAACAAAGACCCTTCCGACAACCTTCACGTCTCCCATTGGCCTCATTCAGCACTGGTCCATTCGTTTATAAATGTCAGTGGCCTCCATCTGTTAGACGCAGACGGGCTGGCTGTCCCCCACTCCCTACACTCTGCTCCCAGGTGGGATGATTGATGAAGGCCCAGGTGGTGGGATTCTGTTACACGTGTAACTTTCTTCCCGTGGCCGCGCCTGCTCTCCGTCCTCGGGCACTTGGAGGAGATCCCGGTCGAGCGGTGCAGGCAGCTGGCTCCAAGAGCCGCCAGCCCTTCCCTGAGCGGAGGGCACACAGGACCAAGTGGAGCCCCAGACCCAGGGCCTCGCTCCAAACGGACAGGCCTGGGCTTGCTGGATGCAGATACCCACCTCAGGCCATGATGGTCCAGCTTATGTTTTTCAAGTCGACCACATGTCTTCAATCTCTCTTATTTTACTGAGAGAAATAATTTCAAAATGCCTTAGTTATTAATACACGAGCCTCCTGGTTTGATTCAGATAATGAGATTTAAAGTGCTTATTACGGAGCCTTCTTTGGTGCGGATCAGAGTCCTTCACGTGCTGAGTAGCCCTGCTGGATGGTGCCTCCAGACTTCGCTGCAGAAGCGGACTAACTACCCCGGAGGCGTTCCCTGAAGCTCCCGCGCACCGCTGTTCACACCGAACGCTTTAAAGTACCGGAGCAGCCCGGGAGCAGCCCGGTGCGCAGGCGCTGCGCCGGGGCGGCCGGGCCACTGCGCACGCGCCGCTCTCCCAAGCGGAAAGGACAGGGCCCGCGGGGCAGGGCATGGGGGTCGCTGCCGGGTCTGCGCTCTCGACTCCCCTGTGGCTGCTGCGCCACGGCTGACCCGGGTGAGGGTGGAGATGGAGTCTGTCGAATACCAGCACCCCGAGACCGCACTGTGTACTCGCACGTGCCTGTCAGAGGAGAGGCAAGCCCACCCTCAAGGCCTGTGCGGCCGCGGAAGAATACCACAGCTTGCACAACTGACGGGCATGTAGCGCCCGGGTCCCGGCTCAGCCCGGCGGAGGGCGGGGCGTCCCAGTCCAGCCCGTGGCCCCGACGCAAGGTGAGGAAGACGGTGTGGGGGCGATGCTTGACTCGCGCACGCGCCATTGATTGGCAGTCCTCCGTGTCCACGAGGGCGCGGAGCTCTTGGGGGCGGGGACCGCGCTGCCGCGAGACCCGCACTCTAGCGT